ATCTAAAACTTTTTACAAGATTAAAGATAACTTGTGTAATACTGTTTTATGTGAAGATTTTACGGAATACCAGTTAATGCATTATTTGTTATATTACGAGATTATATTTTTTTTGCAGCTGAAAGGCGGCCTCCATTATTTAATATGAATGCCATGTCGGCTTTGTACCATATTGCTCAGAACGATCCTCCTAAACTGTCTACTAAAGTAGTAGAAGGAGCTGTTCCGTGGTCCGAAGACTTTAGATCGTTTGTCGATGGATGTTTGAAAAAAAGTGCTAGTGAAAGGATGTCTACTTCAAGATGCAGAGAGGTTATTTTATAATGTCCTTACTTTCGAGACAAGAGGCGGTTGAGAAGTTTCACTATAACTAGTTACTGTTAGCAGTGCAAAAGTGTGAAAATATAAAATGTTTTTAGAAGCAGTTAACATTAATTGAGAATAATTAGATATTTGTGGATTTTCTGTAAGGAGAAATTTCTTAATTTAGATCATCATGATTCCTCTCACATTTAATTCTCTTTCTTAATTTGGAGCGTTTGTATAGTCAGGGGATCAGCGCAATTTTTTTGATAGAATTTGTTTCAGCATGTTTTTGTTAGCCATGGCAACAGTGAAACTGTGTTACTTGAGTTAATAGCAAGAACAAAAGCTCTTGTGAGTGATCTCGACAACTTCCAGTATAGAAAAATGAGGAAACTTATTTATCTAGATGAACAACAACTTTGCGCAGCAGCTGATGGAAATTCGTTATCTGAAAAGCATGGACTTGTTAGTTCTTTAGCAGATTTTAAAACTGATTGCAGAAGAGTTTTTTTCTGTATTTTGTAATTTTATTAGTTCTCGTTTCTTATCAAAACTTTTATTACCATTTTTTGGACCTGTGATATTGATTACTGATTGCAGTCGTTTTTCATCTTTTTTCATGCCTTCGTTTTCTTGCTAAGGAGAGCTTCTTTAATAGATCTATGAAAAGCATAATTGGTAACATAATAGACTGCTTTCCTATTTTATACTTTTTACAGAAGTCATGAAAGTTTACCTGCTTATAGTAATTTTTTTGAAAGTAACCTTTGTAGGATGACGATTACATAGCTGTTGGAGGTTCGGCTAGTTCACGTTCTAATTCAGTTTCTTCATTTCAATCTTTGCATTCTGATATTGGTGCTTTGTCTGAAAGATCCAGTAATCGGAAAGCTAGACCTCCTATTCCTTCGCACATGGTTACTTCCCCATCGGCCACGAATGGTAACGAAACGAGTGAAGAGGTTAATAGTTTTTGCAGAAATACAGAAAATTACTCTGCTGGGTAAAATAATCTGGTCGTAAGAAGAACACATTTATTAAGAGTTTTCTGAGCAGTATTTTTTATCACCAACAAATTTCAAGTGTCTTACTTGTCTTGGGAAGGAATTGTAGACAGTTGTTTTCCTTTAGAATAGGACAGTTATTCGAGTTGGCGACGAAGATGCGTCTCTCTCTGAGTTATCATCGCAACGCAGTGAATCTTCTCTAGCTCCTGATCTCCAAACTTTTGCTTCTCCTTTTGTACAGCCAAATTCAAATCGTTCTGCTACTGTAAGTTCAAGCAGTTGGAAAGTAATTTAAAACTAGGGTATTGCACATGAAGCGTTTCCACATAACACTTTGAAGTCTCATTTTTATGTTATATCAAGCAATTAGTTAGGAGAAGCATTTTTTTACCTTTAATTTTTAATCACTTGAACTTTTCGAAAAGTCCCTATTTCTTGTGAATCCGCCTCAGTGAAATTCATGGTTTTAACTGGGGCTTTTTTGACATTACTATTTTCTAAGCACTTTTTACCTCAGGTAGAGTTCTTATTCAGCCGACTTCTGCTTTTTTGTAGTTGATATTCATTTACTTAAGCGTTTGAGCGTTTGTAGAAAGATTGTGTCTCTGGTAGAAACTGCACTGAAGTAGTAATGCCAAACTTACTTTTGTTGAGTCTTTGATATTTGCCGAGTTAGATTTAAAAAAGATTAAATTTTTAGGTTAATTTATGAATAGTTGAGGAGTAGAAAGCTAGAATTCGCTTATTTCATTCAAGTTACTTAATATAAGGGAAGTTATGGAGGCTTAATAAAAGTGCAACTTGACTTTATATGCAACAGCCTAATATTCCAAATATTTGTTTTAATTTGCCATGTTTTCATTGTATGAGAAAAAGCCGTAAGTTTAATCAATAGACAGGGTTAAGGTTTGAGTTTTGAATACCAATAATATTCGAGTTCTTGAGTTGGTTTTTATCACTGTTATTCCAATTGTTGTTTTTATGGTTTATTTAAATTTTGAGGAAGTGGCGACTTTGCGGAGGTCTAAGTTTGAAACGCTTAGAACAACGAAACTCATATCGAAGGAGATGGAAGAGTATAGTAGGGAAAATAATATTTACGAACAAATGAGTGGTTATAAACGGCTGCGGCAGCAACATCATAAGGAATTGAAACAAGTATTCTTTTGTTTAGATTTTGGTGGATCCTAAAAATTTTCTTGATTCTTCCATCTTTTACATCTTTGGTTTCTTGCTTTTCAAAAAGTTGTCATTTTTGCCAATTTCAGCTTGAAGAACGCTGCAATCTCGAAACTGAAGCTTTGAAAAATAAGATTGCGCGAGAATATGAGCAGTTAATCAGTACTCTTGGCAAAGAACTTCAACGTGCCCGCAATAGTCATAACGCAGAGAAGGATAAGAAAGTCTGCAATCGCTTAAATTCTTTAGATTTGTCAATATCTTTTAAAATTTTGGCATTTCTTGTGAGGAAAGATTTAAAATTTTTATCCTAAAAATCACTATCAATTCTTTCAGAGCCGGGAGCACGATGAGGTTGAGAGGAAAATGAGAAGACACATGCTGGCACAACAAGAAGCGGAACTGAAAGCTTTTACAAACGCTCAAAAAAAGGAATATAAACATAATAAAGAAAAAGCAAAAGCTGTAAATGTTTTTAACACTTCTCATACTTTATTATTAAAATTTTTTTTGCATTAGAAGGTGATATTTTTTAGTGGAAAGACTGAGATGCTCAGAGCTATATTCTTTAACAAATCTCTCTTTCAGCCGCTTAGGAGGACAGACAATAGTTTTTGTAGGAAAAAGAGGAAGTTTACTGGTGAGTGAGGTAGTTTAATAGCATTAAAAGGTTGTTATCGTAGGAGTTGAGAGAACGTTACACCACACGTAATCTTTATGAAAATGCTATGAAAGAAGTCAAGAGCACTTTGAACGCGCAGAGGTGTGACGCAGAAGCGATAAAAGTTCGCGAGCAGAAGATTGCTTTTGATGCTGAAATTCGTCGCCTTCGGCGTAATCGGATGATGTCTTTACATTCTTTGACGACTAGAATAACAACCGATGTGAGATTTAGAATCCTTAATATTTTTTGTGTTTCATCGCATTCTCAACTGTTGTTGTCAAGTGTAAAATTCTTGGAAAATTTTTAATAAATTGTAGCTTTAGGAATTAAATTTGCAAGCGAAGCAGCTGGAAACAAATCACGCTATGTCAAGAAAACATTTTGAACAAACCAAAGACCTTGAGGTGGCACACCTTAATGATATTCATCACCTAAAAAAACGCCACTTAGAAATACAACATGAAGCTGAAACAAACAACCAGATGCAGTACAATCAGCGAGCAACTGAGGAGCTGGCTAAACGTCACGCCTTGCAGTCGAAACAACAACCTAAGGAGTTGAAGGTTTACTGCAGCATGCCGTTTTCAGCATTCTCTTCTTTCTTTTTTAAGGATTTAATTTTCAATGTGAATTTTTTAACAACAAACCTCTGGAATTAAGTGTAGTTTTGCTTATCATTTTTCTTTGTTTTTATTATACTTTACCATTTAACTGTCGTATATATAGTTTAATTAGTGGATTTCGGCAAGAAACAATATAGCTATTTGTCTTTTATTCATCTTTTTTTACGCATCTGCTTTTAGTCGAAAGAGTTGATGATTAGGAAGCAGTACAGGCAAGCTGTTAAAACTCAGTTAAGGCAGAGCAAGGTTCTTCAGTCTCAGGTACATTTGAAAAACTTTTCTTGCTGCGTATCCTAATTCACCACTTCTGCAAGAGAAATATGTAGTCATTCAATCGGTGAAACAGAGTAGAATAATTTATGTCTTTTTGTTCAAGATTTTGAATTCCATACCCAAAGGCGAACATAGAGATATGATAGCAAAGCTTAAAGACGAACAGAAGCGTAAATTAGCTATACTTGCATCGCGCTATGAGACTACAATTGAGAGTATGGTACAGAATCAGACGGTGAAATTGGAATCTTGGCAGGTTTGTTGCTTATTAATAAATTTCAACCCATTTTTGTCGAAAAAGCTTTTCATTTATTTCTTACACACTGACTTTTCCCCTAAGCATTTTTCCTTTCATTTTCATCACTTTATTGCTTGGCATTCTATCCATACCGCATATTGTTTCCAGGAGGATGAAGCAAAGTCTTTGAACGAGAAATTGGAGAAGGAGTTGTCTATGCTTAAAGCTTTCCAAACCAAACAGAGGACGGATTTGGAGAGTACTTGTGATCGAGAGCAGAAACAGTTAAAGGAGTCAGTGACATCAAGAAGGAACCTTTTAGAAGAAAAAGTTTGTTTTATCATTTTAGAAAGTTTTGATTAAAAAAGCAGACTTTTTGGGTTGTCCTGGTCGTTTGTAGCATTTTTACCCTTCTTACTGAATTGCTCGAGAAAAAATTTTTCAGCTGGAAGCTGAGCGAGATGATTTTGAAAAGAAACGTCGAGAAACATTGAGTCTTCTGGAAGAGAAACACAGGAGTGAAGTAGAGGCTTTTGAAGATCCTAACAGGTTGTCTTCTTATGAAGCTCCTTCTTTATCTTCTGCAAGTTCGTCTCACTTTAATTCTCTTTCGGGCTTCCGTGTCCTTTCATCAAGTCTCCATTCACTTACAACTTCCTGAAACAGGTGTCGAAATTTATTTTCTTTTGTTTTAGAATTGGTACGGTATACTAGAAATTTGCTAGTATCAAACTTTTTTATTCTTATGGAAGGTAATAGTAAGTTTCTTTAATGCTCGGAGAGCAACACCTGTGCCTGAAAGTACAATTCTAGAAATTGCTCTTATTTATTAGTGCCTCATTAAGAATTTAATGTCTTTTTTAACTAGTGATGTTCTACTGTTGCGGTTTAGAGGGCTTGAGAAATTTTATTTGTATTATACTAAGTGGTCTTTGTAGAGCTGCATCTTGATCCCGTCAGTCTAAACGGCGGGCCCAACGGTATAGCATCTCTAGCTGTAAGACAAACTTTTTTTTTCGATTCGAATGTTTGTTTATTTAGGTGTTGAACTGACTTTGTTTTTTCACTCATAAAGATTTTACGGGATATATACACTTGATTCAGCACTTTCACGGTTCTTTGCGGTCAAGCTTATACGTATGATGCGTACGTCTAAGAAGTTTTAAAACGGTCTGTTTAGCTAAGTTTTCATGTTTTTTAAACAAAATTATTTTGTTTTACGGGGTTAAGTTGCGCGAAACAGTTAATTACATTTGTCGTTTCAAACCTTGAATACTGCTGTTTCGGAAGTAACATCACTAAATAAGTACCTTTAAGTCTTTAATTTTCAAGAAGGGGTTCTTATAGGTAACGCAATTTTCATTTATTCCATCCTTTGAACAGTTTTGTTTTAGCTTTTCTATTTTTTTAATCTTGCCGTTTACGCATTATATATTTGGGTGTCAGTACTATGGCGTTGTAAAAAATTGGCAGCAAATGTCCAAGCAAACTCAAAAGTCACTCTGTGTTCCCGGTGTTCTTTCGTACTTTTCTGTTAGCTCAAACTGTTTTGAATATATATTTGGAGCTTATGTTATAACTTGATTCTCCTTGTTAAAAATATTTTTATTGCTGTGAAATTTGTTTCTTTTCTATCTTTTGCTATTTTCTTTTTAAGCTAACCATCGTTTATGTATTTTTAAGCAAGTTATACAGTAGTTGTATGACTGTTTTGATCGGGGCATGTTTAGGAAGGAACTGGTCTAGATATGGCTCCCTTTACCTATATTTTCCCCCCAGTGCCCCTCGAAAATACGAAGTGTTTTTGTTATTATTTTATGAAAGACACTATAAAGTTTATGATTTCTGTGTCACTGTGCTCATTGTGATTTTATCTGGCGTGTTTTTAAATCAGTTTAGAAGTTGTTGAATTCTGTTACTTGTGTACTTATCCGTTTTTGATAATATACCTTCACTTACGCATCTCATTTTCAAAACAATTTTTGTCTGTTTTGCTTGTCAATCTGCAATTCATTTATTATTATTATTATTATTATTATTATTATT